CCAAAACGTGAATTTTGGCTTTTGCGGTGGGGCGGCGGTTTCCAAAACCACATTCTAAATTCCGCTTGCGGAGTATATATATATACTACACTACACCAATTACATTGCAGCACGCTATAACTACAAATATAACTACACTACGTTATACAACACTACTCTACACTGACTCCATTGCATTATACTACAACTACAACTACAACTGCAACTGCTACTACAACTACAACTACCACTACATTGCACTACACTACACTACACTAATTACACTACACTACAATTGCAACTACGCTACTTTACACTACACTAGACTACACTACACTAACTACACCACACCACAACTACACCTGCAACTGCAACTGCAACTACACTCCAATAATTACACTACATTCAGCACTGTATAAGAATTCCTTGTATAAGAAAATGAGGGGCTGGGTTTTTTTGCCGCATATATGTTTTGTAGAATATATATATATGCAAATGGAAGTTAAGAAATTCAGGGACCCTGGAATTTTAAAGGCTAAGAAATTTAGATGTATGTGAAGGAGCCCCTTTGCGCCCCTGCTCAATTTCCAAACATGCTGGGAAGCTCGGATGTGTCATATTGAATACTTAAGAAATTGCTAAGAAATTAAGCGGCCCTCGACCGAATAATTGTACATATATACTGACATACATGGGGCCTTTCCGATAAGAAATTGAGGGACCTTGGCCATCGGCAACCATCATTCTTATATAACGCTCGCGCTGTACACTACAACTACGACTACAACTGCACTAAACCACACTACATCCAGCAGTTGTGGTGGGGTGACCATTGCAACCGTTGCAGCCACTCCAAAAAACACAACTCCAACCACCTTTCGGTCCATCAGTGAATTCGCTCTGCCTTCCGTGATTCACAACAACTCACCTCTCCTATATAGTGTCCTATCTTTGAAACTTCCGCCACTGCCTTGTGCGGTACTACGGGTAAGTATTTTTGCATTTCACTAAAAGGCTTCCGGGGTGGCAAAAAGTGTGGTGGTAATCGAAGGAAATTTAGAATTAAATTTCCGACAATATGGACAGATGAAAAAGCAGAAGTGGGAAGAGTCAGAGAAGAAAAGATCAGCCTGAGACGTGCGCGACACCAGAAGTCGGCAACAGGGCTTCGGGGTTGCCGGCGCCCGTGGAAATCTAAAGAGGTGATCACCTCTAGCAACTCCTCCAGTCTTAGCCCTTGAAGCCATCTCTTGAAGCACAATGTTTTACAGCTCTGCGACACCTTGAAGTGCCTCTACCCAATACCTTTTTGGTGAGCGACAAAGACAGGGTCTGAAAAAGCCAAGCCACATGCAAATCGCGTGTGAAAGAAATATGAATGGAGGATCTCAGGACTAAAACCGGACAAAAAAAACACAACTATCGAAATTCCGCGTTTCCGTGCAGGACAAACATACCTTCGGCATCCTTTGGCATGTGTTTTCTCGTGCGGCCGAGCACAATACATCTGACTGAGGTTTCCGGATTCAGTTCATTTTAAAATGAAGTTACCCTCTGGTAATTTAACATAGCTATTGAAAGATCCACCATTTTATAGCTGGGAAAATCCACTATTAATGGTCATTTTCCATAGCTACGTTAAATTACCAGAGAGTTCCAATCTTCTTTTTGATCTCTTGCGGTCATTCGCTGCAGTCGTAGCGAGGCCGCTGCGGGCGACTCATCAAACCACTGGTTGGTGGTATAACTACCCCTCTGAAAAATATGAAAGTCAATGGGAAGGTTGACATCCCACATATTATGGAATATGTGGAAAATGGCGCCTTTTGCTCTGTTCTTCAAAAAAACTGCATCCGCGTCAAGGAAAAAGCGCACAGGTAGCTCACAAGCACCAGGCCCACCAGGCCTCGAACAAGCAACTGATACGGTCAAGTCAAGTCTTGCAAAGCGATTTGAACTCACCAACATTCTGGTCAGAATCTGGCAAGCTGTCTAGTCAGAATCTTGTGCATTTTGCTTGGGGCAAAAACCATCTTACGCATGGCAAGCTCAGCAATAACAGGTCTTTTGCACAAGCATCAGCTATCACGTGAAGATCAAGAGCAACCGTTTCTGCCAACATCCTGAGTCTGCTTGGTCCAGAGGTCAAGCAACGCGTTTCAAAAAAAATTATACAAAGGTAAGCAGCGGCGAATGGCTGTAGTGGCCGCCCAAAACTACAACGACAGCGAAGGGTTGGAGCTCAAATGAGTCGGCTTGGATGGTGGCGTTGCGAATCCCGGAGGAACTCGCCACCTGAACAGACTTCGGATCAACAATTCTCATTTGAGCTTCACCGGCTGGGAACCCATTCATTTTCACTGACTGCACTTCATTCAAATGGTTGACTATCAGAAGCTTGTGGGCGCCACTCTTGGTGATGGCACCCATGCAGCTCAACAGCGGCGTGCCCGGCGTGCCCGCTTGGCACTGAGTAGAAACCAGTGCATCTCCAGGCGCAAACTCTTCAATCAAAAGCTTCAAGACCCAGTAGCGTGCATTGCCCAAACCTGTCCGCCAGTCCAGCAAACTGACGCTGGGGTACTGCGGAAGAGGAATGCCCCACTCTGGAATTTCGGGACTTCCAGCCAGCTGCGACTGGCCCAAAACCTGGGGATTTCACATTTCAAAAATCAAAGATGAAAGAATGGAACCCCTGTTCTATCACAATATCTATTGACACACTCCTCCTGTAGCGAGGAACTATTCAACACCACCAACACAGATGATGTTGGAAACCCCAGCCTCGACACCCAAAGGAGCCAACGTCGCAAACACATAGGCGTACGTGGCACCAGCTGCATTCCAGTAGATATCAGGCAGATTTGCAGTTATTCCCTTGCCTGGGTCGTTGTCATGAGGCATAATTATACCGATCTCGTTGAGGTCGATCTTGGTGTGAGGAAAGGATGAGGCATCGCGGGCTGTGATTGCTTTGTCCTTGAAATCTTTCATCCAAGCAGAAAAGTCACCGAAAAAGCCGGAGCTGTAGGTGGACGGGTCCGTCCGTTTGCTGCAGCCGGCATAGTGGTGAATTGAGACATAATCGATCGGCGGAACTGAAGGACCATGCTTGCTGCGATTGAGAAAAGGGGGAAGCCACTCAGCACCCCCAACACTGCCTACAGCAGCGCCTCCAATTCCCATGAAAGCTGGCGCGTAATCTGGACCACCAACTGCCTCGATCATCTCTGATACGACGACGTCATAATCATGGATGTACCTCCACGTCGTCATTGGGTTTTCCAGAGAAATTAGGTTTGCAGGAATGTCCTTCAGAAACCACATAGAAATCAAGAAGGAATAAAAAGTGTAAAAAATTGATCCTGCCAGGACACTGGTCGACAGTATAACTATGTTCTGCCTCGTTGAACAACTCCCAAACATGACCGTTCTTGCGGTTGAAGCGAGAATATGCCGGACCTCCAGTGTGTTTGACGCCGTCCTCATCCACGAACTCTCCCTTCACAATATAGGAGAGAAGTCGTCCAAAGTAAGAAGCCAAAGTTTCTCCACTGGGATCCAGCCAGTTTTTCCTATTACCACGCACGTAGCCGAAGAACGACTCATCTGGGTTTTCAGGGTAGGAGCAGTTCTGCGTCTTGTTCTCTGCATCGCCAAAAAGCCAGCAGGGCTGAGTGGCAAAATTGAGAACCACCGTATGATTTTGTCCATAGACAGCATCCATGAAGTCCTCCAACTGCGGTAAAATGTGGGAGAAGTCCCAGGACGTCCGTCTCGTCTTCGATTTCGACGGAGCATCCAGCTCTGCCACGCTTTTCTTTGGATAGGGAAACCACGGCACAAAGCGGACCAGGTCTGCCTGCAAGGCCTTCAAAGATGCCCAGGCGTTGTCATGGATGGGATTGCGGAAGCTCGTGCCATTGGGTGCTACAAAGGTGCGGTCCAAGATGGGGTTGCTGACCACCTGGCAGTTTCAAGGCGGACCTGCGAACAGGAAAAACCCAAGGTTGGCATGTTTGGTCCCACATCCTGCCCCGCACAAACCACTGTCCGCCAATGCTTTCCACATCTGATCATCTTGATTCCGAGGAAGTGACCCATGGGGGACTAAATTTCTCCTCTTGGGCTCTCTCTTCTCCTTTCTCTTAAACTACCTCTTCTCTTGCTTCTCTTGACATATCCCTCCTGTTGACCTACTGCCTATCCTGAGTTGCTCTGCCTCTTTCATTCCTCTCTTCCTGTACTACCTATTCTCTTCCTCTTCTTTTGTGTGATCTTTCTTTAGACTTTCTCTTGCCGAGCTGTCTCTTGTCTCAGCCCTTGTCTATTACTGCTTCTCAACCTACCTCTTCGCTTGAGCTATCTCTCCCCTCCCCTGGCCCACTATTCTTGACGGTCTCTTCTCTTGAGCTCTTGGTTTGACCTACTCTGAAACCATGTCTCCTTTGCAAGTGAGTTGTGAACGGTCTTCTTTTGAGTTGTCATTCGGTTGCCTCTTTTCGTGAGCTACGCAATCTCTTCTCGTGGCTCATCTCTCGTATGGACCATGGACCCATCTTTGGCCTTTTGCTCAGCTTGCACAATGACTCATCTTCCTCTATTCTGAGCCAGTTCTTCTCTATGACTATCAACTCCTCGTCAATTAATTGCGATTCGTTGCGGCAGTTGGGCACCATAGCCAAAGGAATTTTAGTTAGACATTTTCCAAGTTGCAGACGGTGGTCATGGTTGACGTGACCGTCGACCACCGAGGCCAAAAATAGAGGCGTTTGAGCAACGCTTACTTTCAAAGAAAGCATCCTCTTCAGTCAAAAACACACTAGTTGCACACAAATGAAACCCCTCTGCTGTAGAGAGTGAACGGATGGGAAAGGAAGTGAATGGATCTGGCGGACTGAACAATGAATGTAGTCCGCAACTCCAGGTTGGTTGAAATTTCCGTTTAGGTGTTCTGCTTGCGCTTGTGCCAACTCTGGAGGTTAGGTACCCCCTGGTGGTTTAATATAGCTATGGAAAATTACAAATGGAGGTTTTATTGGGAAAATCATCTGTAAATGTGCCATTTTACTTGTGGCAAGGATTCAATTTCTGGCCTGCAATGTCGTCACGGTGCGAGACGTCCGAATCACCTTTGAGAAGTCCACTGTTACGGTTGTTATGGCAGACGTGATAGGCACAAGGCAGGCCAGCAAGATCCACATCTTTCAAAACGGCGATCGTTCACGCTTTGGTGTACCCTCTTGAGAGAAACTCCTCACGAATTTTTATGTCTCAACAAACATTCTGCAGCAAAAAGACTGGATAAATTCTGAGATGGAACCTGGGCCAATGATTGAATTTACACACCCATGGGCCAATGATTGAATGGATTCCTATCTGCATACTATATCGGTTTGTCCGAAAATAATACATCCAACACTCCAGTGTTGAACCATTGGGTACCCCATATTTTGTACAGGCCTCAGGCTTCCCGATACAACTGGATTCTCGATATGTTGATTACAAAATAGCTGGGTCATGTGTCCACGAAAAATACATAACTTGTCCAGAACAATCCAAACAAACCATTAAAAAAGGGGTTGGATAAGAGGCATAAAGTGCAGATGTGAAGAGGAAGTGCGTAGGCTGAGTACAGCAGAGATTCAGGAGCTACCCGCGTTGCGATTGATTTGAAGAGCTGTGCTTCCCGACGGTCCACATCGAAGCTCGTCCAGGAGGTTGGAGTTGTACCTACTATGGTCATGGCTAGCAATCGTCGAAACTCGTCTAATTACTGATCACCACTGGCAATGGTTTAGATATATCATGGTCATTCTTGGCAAACAGGCTTTGGCAAACATTCCCCGATCGAAATATGATGCACGGTTGATTCTAGAAAGGTCAGGGCGTCTGTGAATCTATGAAAAGAAAAGTTCAAAAACAGTCTCTGGATTGAATGCAAAATGTTCCTCATCTGGTCCAAAGATTCGTCAAAAAATGGTACCAAATTCCCTACTTTTTTGTGGGTTTCTGATGCATGGACTCGTCTGAAAAGTTCAACATGGCCAACATGCCCAAAACAACCAAAACCACTTCACAGAACCCTTCAAAAATCTTAAAAAAGGAAGCCATGTCTAAACAGCTGGAATGCATCTTCAGATATTATACTGTACTACGACATGTTTTGATGATCCATCATGCCAATCTAAAATTTACAATGCTTGGTTTCCACACTCTTCCAGGACCACTGCAGGGAGGTCCTGCAGGTGTCGAACCCAAGAAGTATCACACCAATGAATGACGCGAAATCGCCAAACTCTAAGATTCTGTTGCACCAAGGGGGCATCAAGTTGGCTTTGCTCGGAACCCTAAGGGGATAGGGCAACGAACATTTTCTCCTTCCCAACAACTCTAATTCCAAGGACAGCAGCTGACGCGGCGTCCTCTGGCAGAGTTGGTGGCAAAATGCACCTTTGCGGCGCTGGGCAGGATCAGACAGAGATGACAAGCGAAAAGCCAACCGACGAGTTTCACAACATTTCACAACTAAAGAACCACGTGAACCACAGGTTTAAAAATAATGCATATAATTACTCCGAACTCCAAGAGTGAATTTCGGAAATGAAGATACTCCGGCAATCTAGCCTGGCCATGGAAACCCAATGTTTCAATAGGAAAGTCAACTGTAAAAGCAGGATTTCCTATCACCAGGTTTCACAACCAAAGGATAGAAGCACTTGCCACCTGCACCCGGGGCCTCAACATCTCTCTGGGACAGGGAAGGTGGACCCGGGTTTCTCTTGGAATACCGAGCCTCAACGGAAAATTTTGGAAATCGTTGTCTCTCAATGCAGTTGACCTGTCCAAAATCCATGGGCCGCATAGTGCTTGAAAGATGATGGGAACGTATGCAATCTTCCAGATGTTCCAGAAGTGTTGCTGCCAATGATAATCAAGGTCATAATCTCGTTGTTTTTCATGATGAAAACTCGTGTTACTAGTAGTATGTCAGTTGGTATCAACTCTAAATCATTCTAAATCCCTGGCCATGTCCTCACCCCACGACTCTCGAAACTCGTCAATCGCGCAGTGCTGGGCATTCGAGCCGCTGCAGTGAACTTCCTGCAGCGCTGGGATGAAGCCCTCATCTTTTTCCCCGTGCGAAGCCCATTTCCACTGGGGACAGTCCCAGCAAACTATGGACTTTTGGATAAGGCGCCCTTAGGATAACTGGTGTCTAAATATCCGAATCCCCACAGTTGTGTAATGGTGTGTACACATGCGAAAAGCCGGTAATATGGAGCAGCTTGCGGAATAGTCACATGGTTATCCTTCATCGGTCCACACATTGAGTGGTGTAAACACCGCAAACAATGGAAACCATCTCAACTTGAAGGTGCTGAACTTCCATACAAGTTCTGGCATTGATAAGATGTTGTAAGCGTGTAAGTGTATATGGAAAAACCATAACCCTTGCTGCATCATCCTCCATGGTAGAAACCCTGGCAATTGTCACTATCTGCAAAGCTTCCCTCAAATAATGCACCAAGACAATCCAAAACATTTGAGATCTTTCAGGGTCAAGTCCAGGCACCATTTTCCAAGCTAAGCCATGGATTTTGACCCAGCGGATCGAACCCCCGCCAGATTCTGGATTTAAATGATATTATATTGTGTATTGTTGTGTTATGTTGTATGATGTTATGTTCTCAAAAAGGAATGGCCATACACCCACAACTTGTCGAAACTCAAAAACTCTCGGCGTGATGTTCCCAGTTGGAGCCACTGGTGGTCCAAGGCGCAGCGTGATGGCAGCACTCAGCACTTCATGTGGTCGACACATTGGTTACACCTGTCTCAGCGCCTTCTTCCCACGTTTTGCAAAGAAACAACTTCTCTTCTGCTCCCTTCAGACTCTGTCTTTTTTCTTGGCGGTGGAAGTCTTTCACCACAAGAGGCCCAATCTTGAACCCTACAAAGACTGAAAACGAGTTTCCAAGCAGAGGCAAGTCGCAAATACCCGGGAAGACATCCCACGCCAACAACCCCACCCAGAGATCACAACAGCAGGAACAGAAAGTTTCAAGGTGACTTTGAAAACGTTGGCGACTTCGACTGGACTGAATTCTGCTGCCTCGATCTTTTCAGAACGTCTCTCCATTTGCAGCGCGCCAGGTGCCACTGCAGTGGCTACACTGGACCTCGGTCACCCAATGCATGCGCTCCCAAAATGACTCGCAATATCATGAAAAAACATTAGAATTCGCGAACCCAATATGAAACTACTTTGTCGGAAGGAATCGTTGAAACATGTTGAAAGGGACTGAAATGGGGAATCGGAATCTAATCACTTGACTGCGTAGGCTCTTTTTTCGCCTCATCACTGCGAAATCCCAGCCCCAGGCAGAGCATCCCATCATTTTCACAGAAACAGACAGCGCGTAACCGCAGGATACCTCAGTTGTGGCACTTTACTTTTGAACAAATTGCTGGCAACTCACTGAGACCATTGCCGGACAGCCAAAGCTCCTGCAACTGGCCGAGTTCTGACAGCATATTGGCCCAGACTTCAGCGGGTAACTCGCCGAGTTTGTTGTCACGCAGCAAGAGAAACTGCAAGTTGTCAAGCGCTGCAAACAGACTACCCCAGACTTCCAGAGGCAACTCGTTCAGCCTGCACCCATCGAGGACAAGTGTTCGCAGGTTGCCCAGCGTGGAAAAGGCTTCAGCATGCAACTTGCTGAGATCGTTTCCGCCCAAGTAAAGCACCTGCAAGTGGCTGAGCTCTGCAAACGATTTGGACCAGACTTTAGAAGACAACTCGCCGAGCCTGTTGGACTCCAGGCCGAGAACTAGCAAGTTGCTAAGACCTGCGAAGAGATGGGCCCACACTTCAGCAGGCAACTTACTGAGCTTGCTGTGAGCCAGGTGCAGTTCCTGCAAGCTGCTGAGCCCTGAAAAGACATTAGCAGCAGCAGGCAACTCGCTGAGAGCGTTTTGGCTCAAGTATAAGTACAGCTTCTGCAATTTGCTGAGCCCTGCAAACACTTCAGCAGGCAATGCACGGAGCTTCTTGGAATGCAAGACAAGCTCCTGCAAGCTGCTGAGCCCTGAGAAGACTTCAGCAGGCAGCTCACTGAGCTTGTTTTCGCCCAGGTTGAGCTCCTGCAAGTTGCTGAGTCCTGAAAAGACTTCAGCAGGCAGCTCACTGAGCTCGTTTTGATACAAGTAAAGCTTCTGCAAGTTGGTGAGCCCTGAAAAGACATTAGCAGGCAAATCGCTGAGCTTGTTTTCGCCCAGGTTGAGCTCCTGCAAGTTGCTGAGCCCTGCAAACACTTCAGCAGGCAACGCACGGAGCTTGTTGGAATGCAAGACAAGCTCCTGCAAGCTGCTGAGCCCAGAAAAGACTCCAGCAGGCAACTCACTGAGTCTGTTCCAAGCCAGGTCCAGCTCCTGGAGGTTGTTGAGCCCTGAAAAGATTCCGCCCGGCAACTCAGTCAGCTTGTTTGAACCAAGGACGAGCGCCTGCAGCAAAGGAGTCTTATCAAAGATGTGATTTGGCAGCGAGGTCAACTTGTTTTCGCTCAGATCGAGAACTTGTAGCCGCGGGCTGTGCTGCAAAAGCTCTTGAGACAGCACGCTCAGCTCGTTTCCATCAACGATGCGATGGCCCTTGTCATCAGATTTACCCCCCAGCAACAATTGCTGCAGAGCTGGCATGGGGTGCAGCAAATCTCTTGGCAATGCGTTCAAATGATTTTGGCTGAGGGACAAGATTCTCAAACTTGACAACCCAGCAAATGTGTCAAACTCTAATTGCTTCAAACCCAAGCGGCCCAAGTCCAGCAATTGCAAGCTGTCCAAAGGAGCGAACAGCTCCTTAGGCAAAACAGGCAACCTATTCGCAGAGAGCGACAACCGTTGCAAGCACCTTGAAGAAGCGAAGGCATCGTCTGCAACACTTGTGATGTTTTGTTCGCTCAAACTCACATCTTTGAGGCTCAGAACACCTACAAGGCTGCAGCTCGCAAGGTGCTTTGCACCATGATCCTTTTGGTGACAGCGGCACGGAAAGCATCCGAAATCAGCCGTGTGAATCGGGTAGAAGTGTGACGAAAGCAGCAGGGCAATGATCGTGACAAGCAAACAGGGTGAATACCTGAGCAATGGTTGCAAGGAGAAACAAAGACTCGAGTTCATCCATCAAAGCCCAATGTTGTGAAAGGGGGCCATTCCAGAAACCAACTCTCAAGGGGATTGACATTGAAAATGTAGGTATCATATAGGTATCCATTTTTTTTTACTTCGAGTGCCTTTGCTGGGACTCCTGGAAGTATGCCACCCGACAGCACCTTGCAACCAACAGCACCTTGCAACTGTAGAATCCTGGATCCCTGGAACTCCTGAAATACTTGGAATGCACCTCGGAATCCTGGACCTGTGAAACTCCTAAGAAGTGGGAACCCTTTCTCAAGCCCTGGAACCCCCTTGGCTGAGATTGCAAAGCTGTTGATGCTGTTGGGGAACAACAACTTAAGAAGTGGTGTATTAGTATGCTTTAGGACGCACAAAAGGGTGCAGCAAGTACAGTAAAGCTGAGAACAAGAAGACGCCTCCTCTGTACAAATATGTTGACAAGTTGAGGGGCTTCGAGATACTCACATGACAAACTGTGTCAACCGGTTGCGAAACCGCGATGATCGATGGATTGAAAATTTCAGAAACAACATAAAACGAAACCAATGCAGCAAAAATGCAACGCTTTGCAACAAATCCGATATCTCTTTGAGAAAGAAAATCTCGATGGGCTCAGCAGTGACTGGGAAGAAGAGCTCGGTAAGCTTTGCAGTTTCTTGTATTTTAGACGATCGCTTCGCTCCAGGGCACGGCAAACTGTGCAAACATGTGCAAGTGAATAGTAGACAGCAAAGAAACCAAAAAAGTCGGCTGGGAATGCAAATGCCGGGTCCAACTCTGCTTGGAAGTTTACCGAAGCCTCATCCCCAAAATTTCCTGAAATGACTTCGTCCAACTGCAGCTCATAGATGGCCAGCAAGGTGATGATGAGGTATGTGGTAGTGTAAGCAATATCAAGAACCGCATCCATCATCGCAGCGGCCCGGCGCACCCACTTCACCGAGGGGAAGGCCAACAAAACGCTTGGATAGATGCTGTTCAAACATAGGAAACCCATAAAAGTCCAAAAGCATCTTTCGAATGCATCTGAATGCTTCGGAGCTGAATGGAATGCAAAGGACACCAGGCCACCCATAATTTGGAGCTTTCCAAAGGCCTGTAGCATCACTGTGAATAACTGCAGCATTGCAACTTTGAAGCCGTAGAGCTTGCCTTCAATGCCAAAATACTCCTCGTAGAGCAGCTGGGTTGGCTTCAGCGGTTTCAATCTAAGATTGGCTGACCGACACCGGCGCAAGTCGCTCAGGAGGACGATGATCAAGGCCAGGTATGGCAAAGAGAAAAGAATGGAAGGCAACAGCTGCGAAAGGCTCTCCTCCAACCATCCTCCAGAATCAACTGTCTGCTTGAGAGCACATGCATCTCGGATCAATTGTGGAAGCTTGGAACGGATGAAAGGTGGACTATACCGCACAAAGTATTGCCCCCCAATGTACACTGCTGCAAGTAATGAGCTGATCCGAAGCAAAGCAACAACAACGACTACCAATCGTGATTGCTGTACTGGTCGCCCAGACATAAGCAAAGGATCTACCTGCAAACTGCCTGCCAGAAGTCCCGCCTGTTCTGCCAAGTGGTGCACATCATCCACTTGATTTTCCAGCTTTGTCAAAGAGGCTTCAAGGAAACGGATCGTGGCTAAATAGTCGTTGATCTTGACCACCATCTCGGCACATCTGACACCAGCATGGACTGAAGCAAAAGAATCGCGGGTACGCACAATCTCGATTTCTCTCAACTCGTCATACCCTGCTCTCGTTTGCAGGAAGCACCACGCACTGAGCATTCTTTCCCAATCATCGAAGATTACATCGCAATACAAGAGATCAAAGATTCGACCGGGTTCACCTTCTCGCACGATAGCCTCTTGTGCCATAGGCAGTGTCATCAGTATGGGCCGCAAATCTTGCCGGGCTATGGAACCAGGCTGCTCCTCCAAGAACTCTCGCAGTGGGAGGCACAGATTCCTGTCAAAGTGGTCAAGATGCTTTCTGGCTTCTACGAAGTGTTCCGTCAAGCTTGTGACTTGAGGCTGGGCAATATCGGCTCTACCCTAATCACCAAAAAGCCTCGACATGTCATTCTGCAAATTCTTTGCATACAAAGCTTCCGATTCAACTTCAAGCTTCTTTGACAGTGTTTGCATTCGGTTGAGCCGAGCTGTGGTGTAAACAATGCTGACAATTGCAATTGAGATAACAATCATAAAAATCACCGTGCCAAACACTCCTGTTGACTGAGAAAAGCTATAAGTTGCAACGGGCAACAGGCTGAGAACCAGTAGAACCAACAAAAATCGGCTCTCTACCTCTGCCACTGCTTGTGCAAGAATCAGCACACTAAGCTCCACATTCTGGCGCCAACCATTTACCGCAACGCAAATCCTTTTGCCAAGGCCCACCCAGTGGTGCCTTTCGCAATAACCGCTCTCAGAAGAGTGAAAAGAATGACACGAAGGATGGCTGCATGGGAACGGTTTGCCTTCATCAAACATCTCCTGTTGAGCGCTGTGAGTCTCTGTCTCTGCATCTTCTGCAGCTGATTCATCTGTGGCGCTGGACCTGCCAAACCTTGTTGGCTCAAAGTACACTGAGCTGACATGTGGTAGGTGGCGGGCACTGCTGAGTTGTCGCATCCGTTGCCAGATGAAACGGAAGCCCCGGGTGCAACGCGCTTTGATAACACCGCCAAAATCAACATGAGCAAATCGAGAGAACCAGCTTCGATTTGGTAAACCTTCAATGTTCACCCAAGTGTCCAAGCTGCCTCGCAACCATTTCAGTGACTTGATGGATTGGTGGAGTTCCATCCTCGCATCAATCGACACCTGGCCGCATCCACTGAGATCAATAACTATACTCTCCAGGTTTCGCGAAGACTGCAAAGCAGAACTGAAGCATCCGAATTCTTCCAAACATGGCAAGTTCATGAACCTGCAGCCACTGGACCGTGGCAGCTGAGAAAAATCAAAAAAAACACGATCATTTCCATGGAAACAAAAAGAAAGCGCAGTCAGCGCAGCAAACAATATGCTGAAAATCACATTTTTTTGCTGGTTCAAGATGAAGAAAAATGTGACTTGAATTTCACAACTCAGCGCACCATAGCTCCAAGTACATGAGGCTCTCCATCTCTCTCAGGGCAACTCCAAGCCCTGCCGCAGTCCTGAAGTGCGAGGAACCTGTGAAGCGCAACTTCAACTGGACCAAAGACTTCAAACACTGCACCGTCGATGTGAACATGTCCAGAGTCTCAAGACCCGAGAATCCCAGATCTAATCGCAAAACACGCAACTCTGCAGGAAGGCTTTCGATCAGCACATTAAGCTCATGGTCAGAGAAATTCCGGCATCCAGTCAGTGAAAGCTGCACTATCTTTCTACCAACGTCTGCCTTTAGAGCTGTGGCCAGGAGTTCAGTGCATCTTCCTTGAAGGACAAATCCGTACCAGCTGGATAAGGCGAAGTGCGAAGCAAGAGCTTCATCTACTCGCTGGAAATTCGGATCCCCCTTGGGGTACGACTGCAAAAGCTCAAAGTCGCAAGTTCCAAGACGAGAAAGAGCTATGCTGTTCAGTATACGAACTTTGTCGATGTTCTGCGTGGCATGAGCTTCCTTGAGCTGTCCAACATTCAAACTCACGATTATGGCTCGGACACCTTCTGGAAAAAGAGAGAACTTAAATTAGAATGAGCCATTTTTGCGAGGTGACATACATACAATGAAAATGGAACAATATGAACAATGGACCATGGACCTTGTCCATTCAATCGATCGTCCAAATTCATAAAATGGTTCTCCAAACAACGTCAAAACAGTAGAGGTTTCTTGCAATCCCGCACCAAGCTTCTTCAATTTTGACCTTCAAGCCCTTTTCCAAAAGGCCAAGAGGAAAGTGACGCTCACGAGCTGCTTTATGGTGCAGCCCGATGATGCCAATCATTCGACTTTCTGCTCCAGCAAGTCCATCAGTAAGCACGTGAGCCTCAGAGATCAACAAGTTTGGAAGGGTCAAAACATCACTTATCACTTATCACCTCTTTGTAAAGATATATGGAAAGGGATGCTTACAGTAAGGTGATGTGAAAAGGTTCACAATGGTGCAGAAATGGTGGTTACGGTAAAGGTGATGGTCTCAACCTTTCGAGCAGACCACGCAAAGGAAATGTCCACACAAGGCCACCCCTTCTGTGTCGAGTAGCTTTGTCATATGCGTCAGTGGCTCCCACATCAAGCAGTAAACGTCGTCTGGACCAGTTGCCCTCTCGATGTTCGATCGCCTTCGTCGCTTTTAGGGTGAAAATACCGGTGTGTTTTCACCAGTGTCTCCTTCGATCCACTATCTACTGAAGCATTGCCTGCCTTTACGAACATGACCTGGTGTTGCTCCTGCTCGTTATACCCCATTCACATGTATGCAAATCGCATTTTGCACTGAAACAAGCTAGCTGCTAGCTGGACAAATCAAAACGTGTCCCTTCAGGCAGAACTCACAAACGAAAAAAACTCACGTTCATGTCACCTTTTTCTCGTTCTATGATGCTTTCTCGCACTTCTAGGAATTTCTAAGGCTGTGGCCATGGCTTCCTCGAAGCAGCACCAAATCCTTTCGAAAGGCGTTCTGTTGTTGTTGTTGTTGTTGTTGTTGTTGTAAGCGGACGTCAACCTGCTCCTCACCGAAGTGAAGTAGTTAAGACGCCATAGTATGCCATCTGCGAGAATCAAGTTCCCATACTTCTCCAAGCAAAACTCAAAGGAAGCGAAACCTGCCTGAAAAAAAGAAGTAAACACAGTGCGCCAGCTAGCATTCCGCAAGGAATGTTTGTTGATCAAGTACGACTTGCCAAAAAGGTAAAGTCCGTAGCCTCTGCAGACGCCAAACTGCTGCAGCCCAAGCCACGGCTCGCTGATGTCGCTGCACAGCCGCAGCGATCATGGAGCGTGAGTCACGCAACACCTCACCTGCCTGAGCATCGGCTGTCGCATTGAGAACGCGGCAGAGATGAACATCAATCCAACCATCTGGTGGTGTCCAGTCAGGCACCTTGTTGTGAGAAGGGATCCAAGTGCAAACAGTGCCCTGAATCAATAAGCCGCTGATCCGCTGCCAGAAAAGCGGCAAGTCACCCTCCCAACGGCCAGTGCTAATGCCTCGCTGAAGCCGCCGCACCAAAGCCTGATTGTCAATCAAGAGCATCACCGGTCTGTTAGCTGCAGAAGAGGCTAAACAAGCTTGCAGAAGAGCAGCACGCTCACCTGCAGCAGGTGTTTGCTCAAAACCAGTCACGGCACCTTGAACAGTGGTGCCTGAAAGTGTCGAAACCGCCCAGCTAGCTCTTTGCCATCGATCACAGGAAGTAGCTATGATACAACTGCCGTCCAAACCCAAGGTGGGTCGCTGAAGAGGATCGAATTGCTGAATAAAAGTAACCAAAGCAGGATCTGCAACCATGTTGGAAAAAGGCAACACAGGAGGAGCATCCACAAGTGGAACCAGCAAACGACGTTCAGTAGCGCTCCTGAACTCACCATCCCATGGCTGCGCTTGGCAGTGAAAAGTGAGATGTTCTCGATCAGGAGACCGCAATCCACATTCACAACTCAAAGCAGAACCAAAGCGCTCTGTGACCCTGCCATCCACTGCAGCACCAGTCAAAACCCTGCGACTGTAGTAATCCATGCCTAAAGCTGCATTTGCCTGAAAAAGGAAAACCGGCTCCTTGCCGTTTGGCCATCGACCATCCGTTTTGGTGTCTTTAGTCCACAAACCAACGAGCCATGAATGGATAGCGGCTTTTTGCAAGCTTTTCAAAGACATCCACCCAGGTTTCAAAATCCCAGCAGGCGTGTGCCACAGGCCCTCGTCAAGTCGCCATTTCCAATCTTTGAGCACTGCTTTCCAGCGAGGAGCAGGCGAGGTAGCTGCAGGCAACCCTTGGGCACGGCGGCATTGCCGATTCCATTCCGCCCGGGCGGCGGTGAACTGGAGCGCAAACATCGGATGTAGTCTTGCAGAACCCAAAGAATTCCAAAAGAGCAGCCGGCTCCTACCTGGAGGAGCCCTTCGACCCCAAAGTGCAGTTTCGATCATAGATGTCCATGTTCGAATGGTTCTTGCACTGAAGTGATGAAAAGCACCGGACCAAGCAAATAAAGATATCACCAACTTATGCACCAATGCAATGCGAGTGCCTAAGTGCTGTGCTGCCAAACGAATTTTGAGACATCGTCGCTGAATGTTGTCACTGACAATATCCGCATCAACACAAGAACTGGGGCGTGACAAATTGTATTGAATGCCAAGCAGTGTGAAAGTATCCGCAGGTACACCTACTAAATCTTTCTTCTTGCGCACCTTGGCAACCAGATGCGGTTTGGTGGCGAAGCTAGCCAATTTGTCAGGGTGAAGTTCGAAGCCGAGAATAGCATCGGCTTGCGCTCCCGCAGTCATGGCGTTGATGACCACTTCAAAACTTTGACAACCTTGTTTCCACATGGTGCGATCGTCCAAATAAATAGCCAAAGAAATCCTTGGTTCCTGCCGTTTAAAACCGGTGCGATCGAAAGGCGTTCCAGCTGAATCCAGCACCAAAAGAACTCCCTCAGACATCTGCATAGCTCTGTAGAATGAAGTGCTGCGTGGGTTGCTTTTGATATCCTCTTCCACGCAGTGCTGGTTATTGGCATATGCACAGACCCAATAGAATGTACTGCTTGAGAGTTCTCGCACCAGAGCATGCTGCTCCAAGCAGGCCAGAAACTTACAAACAGGCTCCTCACAGATCTGCCCAACACAAAATTGGACGTGCTTCAAAGCAATGGATTGACTTTCATCTATCATTACGCTCGATGTTCATTTCTTTTTGATACAGCATCCTATTGAGGGTCCGAAATGAACAAGTCCAAAACTCAACCAAGGCTTCTAGGGGAATGTGAATTATTAGCGGAAAAAGAAACTTGTTGCTGACAGACAATGCAATAGCACGGTCTCAAACAACCTTGAGAATTTGCCTATCCAAGGCTCAATCCAAGCATGTGACACAAACCAGTGAGGTCTCTGCACTTGAATCGCCATGATCTCAACCATGCTGCAGCCCTTTTTCGCATAGCCGTCCTGGGATTCTGCATAATGTTGCCAATTAAAAAAAGAAAAACGGTAGATTCTTCAAATTGGAAAATGTTGTCACATCATCAACAAATCCAGGCTTCGGTGGCTGGTTTGATGATCCAATGATTCGCATGATACAAATTGAAGGTCTCAAACTGCAGCCTTGTCCCACGCTGTTCTCCGAAAGTCTCGCACCATCTGTCAGCCATCTTGGAGATGAAAACAACGATCTTTGCCAATTGCTCGCGAGTGATGCCTCGCTCTGCAGTATCTTTGATGCAGAAAGTCTCCTTCGACGTGTGTGGGGCGACCAACAAATGCAGCAAATGAAATTGGAATGGAATTCAATTGAAGCATTATGCAGTAGCGAAGGTGGAATAATGGGCCTGCAATCTCTGAAATTCAAAAGATTGACTTCTAAATACACTTTCTCTTTATTCTATTTGATCCTATTGGGGTTATATCGCCTTTTTGCCAAAAAAAAGGAACAAAGAGGCAGGTGTGTCTCCTGGTTGGTGATCTCTGAGTAGTTTGCCAAGACCAAGGTGCTGTGGTGGGTTGCCTCCACAATGTCATCGCACTGCAGCTGGCAGACCCCACTTGAAAGCACCTTGTTCCCATGCCATGGGCTGTCTGGCAAACGCTCACGTAGAAGAAAAATCATGTCAGCAGCGGTGCTCGAAGAAGTCAGTGCGATATCGAAATTGCCATGTCCAGGAACATCCACAGAAACCGACATGAGGCAGCGAGTCCTTTGCGCTGTCCAGCGGCACGAATTCAGTGCAGTCTGTAACAATACACAGATTTGTCCATGGTTTATCAAATACTTTCTCACTTTCTCTTACGCAACATGAGATTTGGCTGCTTTGTTCTCAATGTGCTTGGCTGGCCGTTTCATGTCGAGGTGAGTGTCACCGAATGCTGTGGTACAGGTCCGTCTTGAGAAGCGGAGACAATCTGCAACACCTGCAAAAGAACCAACACAGTAAACATGACCCACACGTCTCAACTCTTGGTTTCCGAGCTTCCAGGACCTCTGCAGGGAAGTCCTGCCGCTGTCAAGCCAAATCAAGCCTAATGCATATCGTGGATCAACTTCGTTTTGCCGAACCCTAAAGGATCCTAAAGGATCCTTCTAACAACTCTGTTCCAACATAGTGCAACAACGAGGTGGCGTCCTCAGATGGCATGCATCATGGTGGCAAGATGCACCTTGTCCATGCTGCCGGGTGGTACCGGACAAGGTTGCAACGCCAAGTGGGGGCAACGGACAAGTGGTGTCACGACTCAAACCACACTGTGAAAAGGTAAACAGTGAACTTTGAACTTCTTAGTATGCCCTCCAGCAATCAAACCTGGCAATGAAAACTCAATTTTCAGTACAGGAAAGTCAGCTCCAAAAGAAGGATTTCCGATCACCAAATTGGACTACCTACCAGGTACATGTTGCATAGGTGGACCCAGTGGACCCAGTTCCAATCACTTTTTCTCAACTTGTTTAAAGGCCTCAAAGTCAAACCACACAAAAACAACGAAAAACCGAAACCTCCGTGCAAATGCTCCCTTGACGCCAGTATTTCTATTGTCTTTCTTCAACTCCACTTCGGCTGATTTCGGCTGCCTCGCTGAACTTGGCTCCATCGCCTGGCAACCGACTTGACATGTGTTTTTCATCCAGGAAAAAACACATGATGAAATCCATCTGAGGACGTGGAGCTGAAATTTCCGGCATGTTTTGACAAATTGAGAGATCCCTACAGCTTGGATATATTGCAATGCGTTTCGTCTCGCTTCGTACAGCTGCCCTTTCCACAATCATTCGGCCATACCGTGGGATAAAATTGTATAAAAGTATCGCTGAATCTTCTAGATTGCCCAACAGTCGCTGACGATGAAAGCAACAATTCCATGGTTTTCATGATGACTCTGACATGATTCACGATGAATAAATCCTGCAAAGTTCCGACCGAGAGATCCCGCAATGTCACATGTCACGCTCCATCACGCTCCTATCTTCACGTCGCAAAGTTCGATAGCTTGTAATTAGGTGGTGGATCAATAGCCGATCTGATTTTCAGATATCTGTTGGTTGACGGTCGCAGTTGTCGTTGACCCTCACCATGGATGCTGCTTCCGGACTCTCCTTGCAAAGACTATAACAAGAAACCAATGGCTGGAGTGAGCAGCCTACCCGTGAAGAAAATGCAACGAATCCAAATGCAAATGAAATAGCTGAACTGAGGCAATTCTAGATTCAAGTGGCATTCCCCATGCGCAAAACAAGGAAAAGCTCATCCCCCAAGAATTATGGAAACCCAATTTTTTTCGTGACGTTCTCAACGTTCGGGCCGGCGCCTAGTCCAACTCAGTGCGCCGACTAACAGCGCCTGCCAGGCAATCTGAAAATTCAGTCACAGCTGGACGTGAAGCACGCTCTAAAATCATGTCACGTGTTTCAAGTTGAAGCGAAAACAACACCTGAGAAGGGGGGAACGAAAGCCAGCATCCCATCTATCCCTATGTTCCCTAATATGTTTCACCCAGAGACTCTTCACCCAGAAACCCTTCTGGCACATACTTTTCACCCATATACTTTTCACCTCTTCACCCAGAAACTCTTATTGCTTTTCACCCAGAAACTCTTCTTGCACATACTTTTCACCCATATTCTTTTCACCCAGAGACTCTTCACCCAGAAACTCTTCTTGCACATACTTTTCACCCATATACTTTTCACCCAAAGACTCTTCACCCAGAAATCCTTCTTGCACATACTTTTCACCCATATACTTTTCACCCAGAGACTCTTCTTGCACATACTTTTCACCCATATACTTTTTACCCAGAGACTCTTCACCCAGAAACTCTTCTTGCACATACTTTTCACCCATATACTTTTCACCCAGAGACTCTTCACCCAGAAACTCTTCTTGCACATACTTTTCACCCATATACTTTTCACCTAGAGACTCTTCTTGCACATACTTTTCACCCATATACTTTTCACATCTTTTCACCCAGAGACTCTTCACCCAGAAACTCTTCTTGCACATACTTTTCACCCATATACTTTTCACCCAGAGACTCTTCACCCAGAAACTCTTTTTGCACAGATTTTTCACCCAGAGACTCTTCACCCAGAAACTCTTCTTGCACAGACTTTTCACCAATACACTTTTCACCCAGAGACTCTTCACCCAGAAACTCTTCTTGCACATACTTTTCACCCATATACTTTTCATCCAGAGACTCTTCACCCAGAAACTCTTCTTGCACATACTTGTCACCCATATACTTTTCACCCAGAGACGCTTCACCCAGAAACTCTTCTTGCACATACTTTTCACCTAGAAACTCTTCTTGCACATGCTTTTCACCCATATACTTTTCACCCAGAGACTCTTCACCCAGAAACTCTTCTTGCACATACTTTTCACCCATATACTTTTCACCCAGAGACTCTTCACCCAGAAACTCTTCTTGCACATATTTTTCACCCATATACTTTTCACCCAGGGACTCTTCACCCAGAAACTCTTCTTGCACATACTTTTCACCCATATACTTTTCACCCAGAGACTCTTCACCCAGAAACTCTTCTTGCACATACTTTTCACCCATATACTTTTCACCCAGAGACTCTTCACCCAGAAACTCTTCTTGCACAGACTTTTCAACCATATACTTTTCACCCAGAGACTCTTCACCCAGAAACTCTTCTTGCACATACTTTTCACCCTTTTCATCCAGAGACTCTTCACCCAGAAACTCTTCTTGCACATACTTTTCACCCATATACTTTTCACCCAGATCTTCACCCAGAAACTCTTCTCGCACATACTTTTCACCCATATACTTTTCACCCAGAGACTCTTCACCCAGAAACTCTTCTTGCACATACTTTTCACCCATATACTTTTCACCCAGAGACTCTTCACCCAGAAACTCTTTTTGCACAGACTTTTCACCCAGAGACTCTTCACCCAGAAACTCTTCTTGCACATACTTTTCACCCATACACTTTTCACCCAGAGACTCTTCACCCAGAAACTCTTCTTGTACATACTTTTGACCCATATGCTTTTCACCCATATACTTTTCACCCAGAGACTCTTCACCCAGTTCTTGCACACACTTTTCACCCAATGTCCTTCTCTCTCCAATCTCCTCTAACTAGCTGGCCCATCTATCTGTCCATTGACTGAGCCCAGAAAACCCCAGAAAACCGGACCTAGGGGGAATCGATAGCCACCGTCACTGTTTTGCCGCCTGGTACATTACCCTGCAAAACCATACTTTGCCCGGAACTAAAACACCACCTATTTCCGCCATTTTTGACCGTTTGGCAACTACCCCCCCCCCCAGACCCCCTATTCTCACTTCGTTCGCAAATAACAACTAACCAGCTTCCCGGCTGGCTTTCGTAAAAAACAGAGCATGAATACCGCTCTCAAACCAATCTGTGAATATCACAATTACCAAGAAATAATATGTCGTAGTGCTGTTGTTATGGTAGTAGTTTGCACCTGTCATTCAGGCCTGTGGCAGGTCACAACTAAATTAAGAAGAAAAATCTACTATACACAATCTACACACATGCTTCTGTAATCTTCTGTATATATATATATATATAACAAGTGTTTTTGCTGTTGCAAACAAACAAAAACAAACGTGCTTGTCATCGTCACACTAAAAAGTCGATGATAAATTATGCGGTCACTGTAGAAGTTAAACAAACACCTTTATTCCTAGATAAAACAGTAGCAATATTTTTCGTTTTGGTGTCACGTATTCTCAAAACTGTGTCAAAGTGCGGGTCGGGTGGGGCGGGGTGGGGTGGGCGGGGGGGGGGGGGGCTAATAACGTCCCATTGCACTTGCACACTCATTCAATGCTACGCTGTTTGAAGTTCACTCACCCTTTCGCAGTTACTGCGTGCTATGCATGGTTGCGAAAATCCGTGTCACCTTGTTCTTTTATCAAGGCGCTTGCCAAATGTTTTTTCCTTCAATAAATCAAATGCATTCAAATGCATTGTTTGCCAATTTCTTGCCATAAAAATGTCAAGAAACAGAGCCTGTAAACAAAGGGCCCTGAAGACCGGTTTCTCAGGATGCAAAAATGAACTAGGATTCTTGTTGGAAACAGGTGTCACCAAAACCTGTATAAACTCACCTCCGACAGGCATGAAACGGATGTGGAACACAAATCATGTACATAAGCTTGGGAAAAACTTTCAACAAGTATCCTGCAACACCGTCTTCAAGACCCAAATAGGAACTAAATAGGACACCTCTTGGCGACACTGCAATCACCTCAAAAGCGTTGTCGGAGGCACCGTGCCAGGCACTCATCACAGTCGTGTTGAACCTGAACCGTCATGGCCCCGTGATCCTTGAATAGAATCTGATTGGTGGTTTCATAGAATTGGATGATGGGAAAATTTACAGGAAAGCCCTATATTTGATGGTAAAAACCATGGTTTCCTGTAAATTTTCCCTTAAACGAATCCAGTGATGGTTGAGCCTACCCCTCTGAAAAATATGAGTTCCGTCAGTTGGGATGAAATGACATTCCCAATATGATGGGAAAGTCATAAAATTCATGTTCCAAACCACCAACCAGGAATGTTCTTCAGTTAAGTCCAAAAATGATCTTGCGCACTTGAGGCCAGGGGTAGGTTACGAAAGCTAGGGGAGGTTGAATCAGCTTCCCTAAGCGCTTTCAAATGAAATATGTTGAAAAAGGTGTGGCAGAAATGCTTTTTGCGGTCTCCTTGACAGAATTCCGCGAAAGGCATGAATGCTTCTGCGCATCGACGCATTCAGCGCCTGGCACTCCAAATCGCTGATCCATTCAACAATCATCGTCTATGTCGTGAATCTAGCAACCATTGAACAAATAGATGGAATGACTATGTCAAATCCTATGCTGATGTCTTGACTCTCAGTCCTAGTGGCCTGGTTGAGATAGTTCCTCATTTCCCTAGGCATCCTCACTGTGAACAAAGAAACAAAAAAGTACCTCCGTGCAGCAAAGCTTCGCGGTTCCTTTTCTTACATCAGAATGTTTTTGTTACTAGAGTGCAGCTTGAGGATTGTTGAAGTTTTTCATGCCTCCGGACTCTTTGTGTAGTTTTGATATGTTTCATTGTTTCGATGGATGTGAATTGCGAAGCCCATTTTGTGCTGGATTGTGCTGGCCTCCTCGCCGTTTTCCTGCTCCAAGGTGCGAACGTCTCTGGTGTCAAGCAATGAGCGATTTGCCACCTGCTGGATGCTGGAAGCCACCTGTCGAACATCTTCAATTGATGTTTCCAGCAACTTGGTCAAGCTTAAAACATCAAGGTGGAGTTACCCTCTGGTAAACATACAAAAAGCTATTGAAAATGGCCATTTATAATGGATTTTCCCATTGAAAATGGTGATTTTCCATAGTTATGTTAGTTTACCAGAGGATAAAACATCAAGATGGAGTCATGTCAGGTCGGAAGAAGTCCGGGCCGTGCGGGCACCGACTGCTAAAGGATGTTGGAAACCCATACAGATCCTGCCGCCTTCATCCACTCCGTCCGAGAGTCGCAATGGTTTCAAGATATGGCAGTGTGTCAAAACCCTTGTACCCCTGGTGAACCCCAAAATAGCTGGTAAATGGATGTTCATCCCACTAAAAATGGTATTAATAGGTATTGACCCCATAACCATATTGAAACGGTTTTCTTCGCTTTCAAAACTACATTCAGAAGTCTGGATGAATCTGGATGCCTGGATAGATGCAGCGAGTGAACTCTGCAAGCATCGCCTTGCCCAGTAGCCTATCGCATCTATCGCCAGACGCTGGCTGTTCCAAAAGTGCTGTTCCAGATGCCGAGAGCACTGCGGAAGTGTCCTTTTGAACACAAAAGAAACATATTTTTTGATATCTTCATACAGATTCTTCCAGATATATGACATATAATATATATATATAGCAGATCTTTTGTCTGATATCTTCACATATCTTCCAGATTCTTTCTCAGTTCAAATCGAGTGAGTTCATTCATGAACTCACCGACAAAACTGTGAACAATGGGACGCATGTCCAATACACTTTCATCAGATTGGTTTTGTTGGGAAAATCTTGACCGGAAACCATGGTGACTTGACCATTAAATATTTGGGAGGTTCCGGTTAAAATTTGTTCCCAACAAAACCAATCCAATGAACATTGCAAATATATGTCAATACATGTCAATACTACATCCTATGGCGAAAAAATATTTCTTCTTCTGGTCCAAATGACGCGTCCAAACTTCTCCCTGCCTCTGTCTGAAACTCGCAAAAGAAACTCGAACCAAAGCGGCTCGACACAAGCAGCATTTGCTGAACAAACAAGGGGGGGCCGCAGTGTTGGGATGGTGCAAAATGACCAACATAATTTGCCCAGTAAAATGGCCGGCCCAAAAAACAAATGCAGATGCATAAAGGGTGCAAACATACACCATGCACATATTATCATTCTTTATCCATCATGTCCTATAACATCCTGCAACCATCTCTGTGAAAGCAATCTACGTCAATCTACCTTGTCTGCTCCATTTTGCAACAACGCTAAACTGTATGCCGCACGGGCACTTCCTGACTTCTGCAGGTACCTCCAAAATGGAGGCGCTAACAACGGAATTGTGCTTGTCTTGCTCAAATCGAGACCGCCATGGAGCGTTCTGCAGGGATTGGTTTGTCAATTTATCAATTTTCACTATCCATCAAGGTGAAAAGTGAAAAGGTTTGACTCCGATTTGACCATTGCAATATCCATGGACGATGCAACAGCACGCTTAGAGGATGAATCGAACCACATCAGTTTGGCATCTAAATGCCTGTGGATTGAGAAAATGCGTGGCACGAACACTGGATTTTTTGTCGAAACCACGATGTTGAACGTCAGTGCAAGTGAAGCACCAGGAAGCGCGCAGAAAAGCAACAAACACGTTGATGTTTCCTTCTCCTATGTTCTCGGAAACCTTTTTCACAAAACTTGCTTGAGAGCAGTTACGTGTTTCTGGTCAAAGGTTTCCATGCTCCTGTGCCCTCACATACAACCATAAAAGGCAAAATCATCCAAAATCAAAAAGACATCGAAGACCTTCTCACCAATTCCAAAAGGTTTTTGCTTAACCCAATCATTCCCAAAGGTTTACTGAGCCAAGTAGTTGATACAAAGATCCAATGATATCCAAAGAGCTAGCTGGTGCCAATCATCAATCTTCCATCAATCCACCATCAACCTGGTGCCTGCTGGCCTCGGATGATCATGGTCTTTCGCTATGGGCTGCAGACCATGGATCATTTCCATCGGCCCATGGGTCGATTGGGCCGCTTGGGCCGATCGGATCGGGTCGATCAGCTGGGATCGTTTCTGGTGTCGCTCGACTTGGTCGTTTCCTGACGGTGGTCGAAAAAAGGTGGACTGGGGATATATTTGGATGTTGCAGGGGAGATGTCCAAAGTACACCAAAGGAGGTGTCCATTGGAGGTTCTTCCAACACTGCAATCTGCAAAACATCAGGTGCAAACAAAGTTCTTGCCCAACTGCGGCTGAGCCGGTCGAAGCTGAATGGTCGAGCCCCTACAGGTCGTGGTGTAAGCCAGTACGAACCTGCAGCTGGACAAGAAGTTTTCCGACATCTTATGGTAAATATCAGAGCAATATAGCACAAAATAGCACATATCACAGCACTTCAGTCTGTCAACACTTCTATTCAAATATAGCACGTTTACTGTTTACTGTTGAGATTTTGTTATGCCATAGCTATGCCTGCCTCCATGTAAGAAGACCCTGAGCCAAGATCGCTAAGGGACTTTGCCGTAACAGGGTCCAAGGGCCAAAATCGCACGGGCACTTGGAAGCGGGCCTGGAGAAAACAGAACTCACAACATCTCTCAAGGACATGAACACGTGTTTGCATTTGAGTTCCCTGCCTTTGGGCTGATTTGTCGCACGCGATCTTGGTAGCATTTGAAAGCCTAAGGCCAGGTCAAGGCTATGGGTTGCTTTGGCGACCAAACTCCATGGGATTGCAGCTTGGGGACATACAAGCGACGATTGCAGAGGCTATGCACTCGCATCTCGTATCTGACAACCTCATGTGAGTTAAACACGGGCTCGTCAAACATCTTCCAGAACGTGAAAAAAGTATTTCGCATATCTTCGCATCAAAAGATCTTGACTTATTTGGGTTGCTTCAACATGTCATGTTTGAAAATTATTGCCTTTGGAGATGTTGCAGCATGTGATAACAACAGAAACATGGTAGCAACAATGACAAGGACCTCAAATTCCGCTGCCTCCAAGCGCAGACTTGGGTCGTCCAAACGCACTCTACCATGGTACAGCTCCTTGATTTTGCAACGATCAGCCACAGCAAAAAACAATTATTACTTTCTTCGAGTGATCCCCAACATATTCTGACATGTATTTTGACGTTCTCTCTGGCATTCTATCTAACGTTCTATCTGGCATTCTATCTGACGTTCTGTCTGACATATATTTTGGCATTCGATCTGACATTTTATCTGAGATTCTACCGGACATTCTATCTGGCATTCTATCTGGGCTATATTATGACATTCTAACATTGAGTTGTCCCAAGTCTGCTACAGACTGTGAACCCTGTAATCATTAAAAATACAAAAAAAAAATACAACTCCAAATTTCAAAAAAAAATACAACACTGAGCAGGGCAAAATTATCAACAAAAGGAAAATACAACATACATTGATGGATTCGCGGTTTTGTTCTTTGACGGCATGTCTAAAGAACGCAAAAAATACAAAAGGACAAAGTGCAATCTGTGAAGGACTGGAAAAATACAAAAAAAATACAAAAATACAAATTGCCTTTTTGGACGTAATGGAAAAATACAAAAAAAATACAAAAAAAATACAAAAAAAATACGAATGCAATTGCTCAAAAATACAAAATACAAAAAAAATACGAATCAACAATTTCAAAAATACAAAAAACAAAAAAAATACGAACCCAAAATTTCAAAAATACAAAATACAAAGAAAAGACAAAATCAAAAATAAGCGAGAGAGCCAACCCCGTGTTCACTTTTGGAAATCAGGAACCAAAATACAAAAAAAATACAAAACCAACCAGTTGTATTTTCCAAACCCTGCAGTTCTGATTTTGTATTTTTGGGTTGTATTTTTTTCGTATTTCCCCACCTGCCAGGTGAGGGTTGTTAGATTTTATGTCAGTTGCCTCCTCCTCCTCCTTCTCCTCCTTCTCCTCCTCCTCCTCCTTCTCCTCCTCCTCCTCCGCCTCCTCCTGCCTCGTCCCCCTCTCCTCCTCCTCGTCCTCCTCGTCGTCCTCGTCGTCCTTGCTCAACTGCGACCCGCGATCCACAGTGTTCTCTGCCGGACCTCAACCACGACCATCCACGCCCAGTGTTCCCTGCCGGACCTCAACCACGACCATCCACGCCCAATGTTGCCTGCCGGACCTCAACCACGACCATCCTCGCCCAGTGTTCCCTGCCGGACCTCAACCACGACCATCCACGCCCAGTGTTCCCTGCCGGACCTCAACCACGACCATCCTCGCCCAGTGTTCCCTGCCGGACCTCAACCACGACCATCCACGCCCAGTGTTCCCTGCCGGACCTCAACCGCGAGTATCCACGCCAAGTGTTCCCTGCCGAACCTCATGTAGGAAGATATGGGACAAAGAATGTGCAGAAGAAAGTTAGAAAGAATGTCAGAAAGAATGTCAGAAGATATGCCAGAAGATATGCCAGAAGATATGCCAGATAGAATGCCAGATAATATGCCAGAAGATATGCCAGATAGATTGCCAGATAGAATGCCAGAAGATTTGCCAGATAGAATGCCAGAAAATATGCCAGAAGATATGCCAGATAGATATGTCAGAAGATATGCCAGAAGATATGCCAGAAGATATGCCAGAAGATATGTCAGAATGTATGCCAGAAGATATGTCAGATAGAATGCCAGAAGATATGTCAGAATATATGCCAGAAGATATGCCAGATAGAATGCCAGAAGATATGTCAGATAGTGCCAGAAGATATGCCAGATAGAATGCCAGAAGATTTGCCAGATAGAATGCCAGAAGATATGCCAGAAGATATGCCAGATCATATGCCAGAAGATATGCCAGATAGAATGTCAAATAGAATGTCAGAAGATATGTCAGATAGAATGTCAGAAGATTTGCCAGTAAGAAAATGTATAAATGTCATGGTGGGGATCACACGAAGTAAAGTATTTTTTTTGTATTTTTAAATATTGGTAGAAGACCCTTCTGTAGCCACCCCGGACAACTCAATTCTAACAGTCTATTTGGCATCTATTCTGGCATTTCTGTGTTCAGCCCGGAGCTGAAGCTCGCCATGAGTTCGCACCTTTGGGAGTTGCACCTGTGATATCAGAAGTTGAGATCCTCACCTGGCAGGGGAAAATTATACCAGCGTTGACCCCAAACAGATGTAGAAATGTTCAATTATATTGTACATGCGAACCAAGGAACCCAGAGTGGGAGACAAGTGTGGGAGACAAGTGTGGGAGACAAATGGGAGACAAGTGTAAATTCAGCCCAAAGAACCCAGAGTGGGAGACAAGTGTGGGAGACAAGTGGGAGACAAGTGTAAACTCAGCCCAAAGAACCCAGAGTGGGAGACAAGTGTGGGAGACAAGTGGGAGACAAGTGTAAACTCATGCGCTCCAAGACATCCAGAGTGGGAGATACGTGTGGGAAACAAGTGGGAGACAAGTGTAAAATCATGCGGCCCAAGGCACCCAGAGTGAGCGACAAGTGGGGAGACAAGTGGAAGACAAGTGTAAACTCATGCGGCCCAAGGCACCCAGAGTGGGAGACAAGTGTGGGAGACTAGGGTAAGTGTGGGAGACAAGTGTGGAAGACAAGTGTGGGAGACAAGTGTGGGAGACAAGTGCGAGATAAGTTTAAATTCATGCGGCCCAAGACACCCAGAGTGAAAGACAAGTGTGGGAGACAAGTGGAAGACAAGTGTAAACTCATGCAGCCCAAGAAACCCCGAGTGTGAGACAAGTGTGGGAGACAAGGGGGAGACAAGTATAAACTCATGTGGCCCAAGGCACCCAGAGTGGGAGACAAGTGTGGAAGACAAGTGTAGGAGACAAGTGTAAACTCATACGGCCCAAGGGACAAGTGGGAGACAAGTGCAAACTCATGCGGCCCAAGGCACCCAGAGTGGGAGACAAGTGTGGGAGACAAGTGGAAGACAAGTGTAAACTCATGCGGCCCAAGGCATCCAAGTGTGAGGCACAACTGGGAGACAAGTGTAAAATCATTCGGCCCAAGGCACCCAGAGTGGGAGACAAGCGCGGAAGACAAGTGGGAGACAAGTGTAAACTCATGCGGCCCAAGGCACCTTGAGTGGGAGACAAGTGTGGGAGACAAATGGAAGACAAGTGTAAACTCATGCAGTCCAAGGCACCCAGAGTGCGAGACAAGTGTGGGAGACAAGTGGGAGACAAGTGTAAACTCATGCGGCCCAAGGCATCAGGAGTGGGAGACAAGTGTGGGAGACAAGTGGGAAACAAGTGGGAGACAAGTGTAAAATCATGCGGCCCAAGGCACCCAGAGTGAGCGACAAGTGGGGAGACAAGTGGAAGACAAGTGTAAACTCATGCGGCCCAAGGCACCCAGAGTGGGAGACAAGTGTGGGAGACTAGGGTAAGTGTGGGAGACAAGTGTGGAAGACAAGTGTGGGAGACAAGTGTGGGAGACAAGTGCGAGATAAGTTTAAATTCATGCGGCCCAAGACACCCAGAGTGAAAGACAAGTGTGGGAGACAAGTGGAAGACAAGTGTAAACTCATGCAGCCCAAGAAACCCCGAGTGTGAGACAAGTGTGGGAGACAAGGGGGAGACAAGTATAAACTCATGTGGCCCAAGGCACCCAGAGTGGGAGACAAGTGTGGAAGACAAGTGTAGGAGACAAGTGTAAACTCATACGGCCCAAGGGACAAGTGGGAGACAAGTGCAAACTCATGCGGCCCAAGGCACCCAGAGTGGGAGACAAGTGTGGGAGACAAGTGGAAGACAAGTGTAAACTCATGCGGCCCAAGGCATCCAAGTGTGAGGCACAACTGGGAGACAAGTGTAAAATCATTCGGCCCAAGGCACCCAGAGTGGGAGACAAGCGCGGAAGACAAGTGGGAGACAAGTGTAAACTCATGCGGCCCAAGGCACCTTGAGTGGGAGACAAGTGTGGGAGACAAATGGAAGACAAGTGTAAACTCATGCAGTCCAAGGCACCCAGAGTGCGAGACAAGTGTGGGAGACAAGTGGGAGACAAGTGTAAACTCATGCGGCCCAAGGCATCAGGAGTGGGAGACAAGTGTGGGAGACAAGTGGGAAACAAGTGGGAGACAAGTGCAAACTCATGCGCACCCAGACATCCAGAGTGGGAGACAAGTGTGGGAGACAAGTGTGGGAGACAAGTGTAAACTCATGCGGCCCAAGGCAGCCAGGGTGGGAGACAAGTGTGGGAGACAAATGGAAGACAAGTGTAAACTCATGCGGCCCAAGGCACCAGAGTCGGAGACAACTCTGGGAGACAAGTGTAAACTCATGCGGCCCCAGACACCCAGAGTGGGAGACAAGTGTGGAAGACAAGAGTAGGAGACAAGTGTAAACTCATGCGGCCCAAGGCACCCAGAGTGGGACAAGTGTGGGAGACAAGTGCGGGAGACAAGTGTGCGGCCCAAGGCACCCAGAGTGGGAGACAAGTGTGGGAGACAAGTGTGGGAGACAAGTGTGGGAGACAAGTGTGGGAGACAAGTGGGAGACAAGTGTAAACTCATGCGGCCAAAGGCACCCAGAGTGCGATACAAGTGTGAAAGACAAGTGTGGGAGGCGGGTGTGGGATACAAGTGTAAACTGTAAACTCATGCGGCCCAAGGCACCCAGAGTGGCAGACAAGTGTGAAAGACAAGTGGAAGACAGGTGTAAACTCATGCGGCCCAAGGCACCCAGAGTGGGATGCAAGCCCGGAGACAGAGGCAAAATCATGCGGCCCAGGGATGCAACCCTTTGAAAGGAGTAAGAACCCCATACAGGTAAACCTGCTTGGGGAAAAAACAAGTATGAACATGATAATTAATTGATTTTAATTGCACATGAAGGAAACACGATAAACAAATCAGAATGACACTTGCACATGATTGGAGAATGAAAGAAATGAAAATGACAATCTCATATTATCGGAGAATGATATAAAACAGGAAAAAACATGAAAAACAACACGAAAAAATCCTCGGTCCGGTCTTGGTCTGTGGCTGTAAGATTCTCATAAACGCAGCACAACAAATGATGAGCGACAACCA